AAAAAAAATTACCAAACACACGTATATTTAAAATCATTATGTAACTACAAAAATAAAAATAACTCCCAATTACAATTCTAAACGTACAAGATGATTTCCTATGGCCTTACAAGTCCTTAAGTACTAAGTAATGCTTTATTATCAAAACATGATATTTTGAAGGTTAATTCCAATTATCAACAAGGATTATTCCACTGTTACTAGCGATATTATGCCCTCACCTTTTCATTAGAAAAGGAAAGGAAAACAAGATATTGTCATTTTTTTTTTTTTGGTATAAAGAAAGAAAAAATACTACTCTTTATGGGAAGAAACAAAAAGCATGCAAAATATGCAATCTCGATTTGAAAATTTGTAGTTTTAGATTCAAGTTATGTAACAATTTTATTTTTTTATTTTTGATCAGTAGTCATATAACAATTAAAATAGATAAATTATGTAACTAAATACCCTAATTTAAAGATTCATATTTTTTATAATTCAGCACTTTTTCATTATAAGATATATACTTACAAAGATGAGATTCATGTCATTTTCCAAAAACCGGAGTGGGATAATTCTGGCCAACATCCAAAAACAAAAAAAAGACACCTTGTTTCCAAAGAAAAACAAAGGTCAATTTTTTTTTTTAAATATATTGTAATTATTTACAAGTTAATTGAAAGATTAAAAAAAAAAATTATGTGAGATTTAAACATTATAAAAAGTGGATAATTCTGACCTAAATCCATGTCATTGGTAAAAAAGGGCAATTCTTTTTTCTCCTTTTCTATAATAGTAAAATAAAAGTTGACCACTTTTAGTGTTACAATTCTCCAATCCAATACCAATAGCCTTTGGTTTTTGGTCATTTTCATTGTTTTGCATTATTTTCTCTCTCTCTATATATTCTTCTCTTCTCAGTCATTCACGACAAAAGGCAAAACAAAACCTTTGCCTTCTATTTTCCACAGAATAGAATCCGTCAACCCCTTTTCTCACGCTTTACTCTCAATTATTGCCATTTTAATTTCGTTTTCATTTCTTCTTTATAATTTTTTTTTTTAAAAAAAAATTGAATTGAAAAACACTGCAAAACCAGCTTTCCGGATTGGAAAAACCAGACAAAACCACCTGTCTCTCCACAAAACCACCTTTTCCTTTTTATTCCTTTCCAAAACCGCCCTTTTCTCGACAACCCAATTCAGCAATTACCCGCCTTTTCTGCTCCCCTCTTTCGATTTTGGCGTTTCAGAAACTGTTTTCGGGGATTGAACAGTTTGGAGTGGTGGTTGGTAACGTGCACCGGCGCTGCAGGTGGTGGTTGTTTGGTTGGGATTGAGTTGTCGTGGCGATGACGACGGAGTTGATGGCGGGAAGGTGGGGCACGTGGGAGGAGCTTCTGTTGGGCGGAGCCGTTCTCCGCTATGGTACCCGAGACTGGAACTTGGTCGCTGCGGAGGTCCGAGCCCGAACCGTTACTGCCTTCACCTTCACCCCCGAGGTTAATATCAAAGATAATTAATTCTCTAATTTGAAATCATTAATTTAATTTACCCCATAAATGCACATACAGAAGAAATCATGCTATATTGAATTGTTTTTTCAGTTTAATTTTTTTTTGTTCTTTCCTTTGTAGTTATTAAATCTGGTGATTATTCTTTAATAGTAATTGTCAAAGTTCTAAATCATGGTGAAGGAATGAAGATGAATATGATATTCTTCATGATCATTATTAACATTAATTTTTTTTTAATGGGACAAGCCAACTTATTAAAATTCTCATGTCTTTATTAATTATTAATTATATATTTATGTAGTTAATTTCTTGAAAGCATAGCTTGGTAATTGCAATTTGGATAATAAAGGGCAATGACATGAATGGGTTTGTTTGATCTGCATGTCGATGTTATGCAACAAACACGTTTTGACTTTGACTAAGGTGGTGTTTTATTTTTATATCAATCCATCAAGGTGCCTGTTTGGTTGGTGGGAAAAGTTGGCATATGTGCATTCCACGTGATAGTAATGTTAATTATCTGCATGTGCGTGGTTTGTTTAGTGTAGGATCAATCTGACCATATCACATCTATTGATGTTTCTGAGACTGAACATTGGATCAATGTGTCGGGACAAAAAAAGGAAGAATGCGTGTTATTTATTTCTTAATGACTAAAAAGAACTAAGAATTGAAGAGAAGCTGGGTTTATTATGAATGTAATGCTTTTTTTTTTTTTAGCTATGCTTGATTCCTCCTTAATTGCAGCTTGTGTTCATGCTCTGTGTACTTTGAATCTAAAGCATGGTACCTAATGCAGATCTGTAGAGCTAAGTTTGAGGATTTGCAACAACGTTATTTAGGTTGCAAGTAAGTAATCCTTTGAAGCGATTAAGACTAATTGATATAAGTGATTGTTGCCATACACCATGATCTCTGCAATTTAATTGTCTATCATTAATGTTCATCTCTTTTTCCTCAGAGCTTGGTTTGAGGAGCTAAGAAAGCAACGAATGGCAGAGCTGAGGCAAGCCTTGGAGCAATCTGAAGGTTCAATTGGGTGAGGAACTGGTCTTTGATCTCACTTAGATGTTCTTAGTTAGGAAATTGAGCACAATTGTTCCTCTTAAGTAAACACATGTGGATTCCAGCAAGTGTCTTATTCCTTAATCATGCCTTGGTGCTCTGAAAATAAGTTTAGAAAATGAGGTCCTCAAAATACTCCTAAAGAAGATTTCTAGCATAAATCTTATCTTTGAATGCAAATTCTAGGCAAGTCTGAATATGTTGAAGTGGTAATATTACCCGGTTGTGGTTCAGCAAAGTAGGGTCGTGGAAGGTTTATTTGGATGTAGTCCCGGTGGTTAGTTTGCTAGTATTGTTCCAGTAATTAGGTATTGTTTTTTAATTGTCTTAATGTGTTTGGACTAATAAGTTTCTGATAATACTAAATGCTAACTAGGAATCTGCTCTGGCTTCCTATGGATTTGTTCTCTACTTTTTCATGTCCTAGAACTTGAAGTCCCTGAAATTCAATGATACCTGACTCATTCTGATCTGTTCCAGGTCTCTAGAGTTGAAGCTTGAAAGTCTAAAGGCTGAGAAAAGAGATGATCATGCGATGGATTATGATTCTAGCCAGACCGAATTACAGCTGCTGTCTCTCAAGTCTGAGGGAATTGAATCTTCTAGTAAAGACACATCGAAGGATGGTTTGTCTGCAGGTAGTTTCACACAGGATGCCCAGACAAAGTGGTCAGCTGAATGTCAGGTCCTGGCAGCAGTGCCTGCTGAAGGGATAGATGTTAGACCGGAAATTTCAGTGACTTTTGACAGAGAGAAATTGAGCATTGAGAAGCTCAAAGAAACTGTATGTGGGGGACAGTTTCTGAATATAAGGAAAAGAAGAGGTAAGAGGAAGAGAAAGGATTGTAGTAGGGATGTCAAAGAAGGGAGTGTTGGAGAGAGTGAGTTTCTTGGCTCTGCTGACATTGCAACTGCATCATGGTGTAAAGAAACATCAGTCAGCAACTCTGCACAGATTGCCCGATCCTCTGGTGTTGATGATCAGACGAGATGTCCAAACAAGGAACTGATTGGTGATCTGATGAGGGTATTTAGTTCTGTAGAAGAGAATGAATGTGCTTCTGTCTTTCGCCGACGGCTTGATAGTCAGGTATGGATGATGTTAGGTGCTTGGCCATTTACATTGTCAAGTTTATTTCCAACTTATGCTTTCTTAGTTCTAAATTGAAAGTCATCTTGTTACGATATTCATGCTTAAATAGATAGCTCTCTCTACAATGAAGCCTTTCTCTCATGTATTATCTTGTACATATACATGCAATCAGCTTGACCTTGTGCTTTTAACTCTCCATTCACAGAAGAGAGGCAGATACAAGAAAATGATTCTACAGCACATAGATTTTGACACCATTAGATCAAGAATTGCCCGTGGTTCTTTCACGTCACTTAAGGAACTCTACCGAGATATGCTATTAGTTGCCAACAATGCCTTGCTATTTTATTCCAAGAATACCCGGGAATATAAATCAGCACTTCTCCTCAGATACATTGTAACTGCAGTGTTACGACAGCATTTAAAGGATTCTGGCAACAAGCCTACAACTTCCATCCTTCCATCCAGCTCGTCCATGCATAAGCCTCCTGCGATGCCTCGAAGCATTCGTCCTGGTAATCGTAAACTGCCAGGAAAAGTGGCAAATCCTAGGAATGCAGCTGGTGGGACTTCTAACGGAAGTAAAAAACCATTCAATGTGGATTCCCCTCCATCAATGGACTCCTTAGCCGTGACCAAGAAGGGCCTTTCTCAGCCAAGAAAAGTGGGACATGGCCGTGCCCTCAAAAAATCAGAAACCTCAGAAAGGAAGAGAACTCGTGCCTGGTAATTATTCTCCACCCTCCTAGTCTCTCTCTTATTGTAAACACTGGTTGTAGATTTGTAGTCCAATGTTGAAAAATGTAGAGAAACACACTTATTGCCTCCTATTTTGTACAAACTCACGTCTTTGGGAGAACAGATGTAGAATTGCATTGTAACAATCACATTAGTATGAAAAAAAAAAAATTCCCTATATCTCTGAATCTCCATTCCACTTGTGTATTTAGTAGTAGTTTTTTCATGATTAAACCAAGTATATATCAATTTACTATTTTACTTCGTGACTTATTCTCAATGTGAGCTTGCCTTTTAGTATCTAAAACTGCACTGCTTGATATTGTAGATGTTTAAACCTTTAACGTCAATGCAAAAATTAAAATCAAGTAACTAGTATATACTAATTTAGCTAAAAATTTTTTTATTGATAGCAAGTCACATTTCCTCTCAGTAAAAAGTTCTTATCAAGTGAAAACACTAATTAACAGTATATCCTCTCTTATTCTGTCTCAAGTCTCAAAACAAATCATGTAAATTGAAAGTTGAATAATACCATCCACTTCCCTCAATTTTATTTATTAATTAACCTCAACTAATTAGCTAAAATGATGCTTGCATTTGACATGACGGTTGGATAGTTTCATCCATCCATTTGCTCTCAATAAAATTTTTAATTTACCTCAACTAATTAACCCCAACCATCTTATTTGCATGAAATTGACTTCCCTCAACAAATTGATTTCCTGATCCTATGTACATGTGCAAATTAACTCTCAAAATCAAATCATCGACCTCAGATATATTAATATAATATATTTATAAAAGAAGAAGAAGAAGAAAAAAAAAAAGAACTATCATTCCTTCTCTTGGATGCTTTTAGCTTTCCTATTCTTCTTCTTTCTTTCTTTCTCATTGTTCCGCGGCAATCTCCACCATTCTGGATGAAGCGTAGCAGAGCATCGTTAACCATGATATGAGAATAGCCAAAGATTTTGCAGATCTCCAACAAAAATCCAAAGAGTACTCAGGCTACCAACCTGGAAGAAATTGATTGGTGTCACAATGGAGCTAGCTGTGCCAAGAACAACAAAGATGTTTCCAATTTCTTAACTAAAGCAAAATATCCGCCGCCATTACCCTCGGAGTTGCTTGCCAGTTTGCTCCATCGTATGGTGGGAAGTGCCTAACTTTTTCCAAGATGCTCACCGAGCCTTTTACAATTGAATGTTGAGACCTCTCATCATCAATCTAAGTAACTGGTGGACACTGGATGTAAATCACCATCTTGCCCTTCGTTAAGTGGGAATGTAAATAAATTTTTTAAAGGAATAACAATGCAAAAGGTTAGGGGGATCTAGGTCTCAAAGCCATGTCTAGAGCATGGTTCCTGCTCCCTTACACGACTGGACTTTGAGTGTTAGAAAATATGGAGTATAGCCTTCTAACTATTGATGGGGATGACCCCTGAACCCTCAATCAAAGATGACTTTTTTGCAAACTCATGCATAATCAAAACAAATAGTGATGGATGGATGACAAAGTGGAGTTGCAATTCAATCTATCTTCATTCAATATAATAATATATAGATACAAAGATCTTCAATATATGAGATACAAATACTGTTCTTAGCTGTCAAAATGGGTATAAAAAAACAATTAGAATCCTACCAATTTAATAAAATCTTCCTTATCTTTGGGAGTATTGAATTGATATGTTGTTGCATGAGCATGCACTTTTTCATCAATCATTTCAGTAAAACCCAACAACTCGTCAAATTCCCTGAGAATGTAAAAAGCTTCGAGTTTTCCATTTTTCTTTTCTTTACTTATTTCTGAAGAAGTGTAAAAGTTATTTTTTTCCACTCAAATTAATGAAATTATTTGGACTAATCATTTTAAAGCGTATTTGGGCTAAATTTGATGAATATTATTTGGGCTAAATATTAATAAATATTATTTGGGCTGAATATTTGGGCTTACCGGAATGGCAGGAGGGAGGGCCTGCTACTTCGCAACAATCACTCATCTTAACTTAACGACGAGCCGTGCCGTGAGTCGGTGCGGTGACGCCACAGAAGCGCCGAAAGGCGTATCAAAACTGGATCAACACCGACGCCCACGGATGGCAAGCATATTTGGGCTAAATTTGATGAATATTATTTGG